ATTGAAGACACAAGGAGAGGGGATGACCCTCTCCTTTTTAGGACCTTAAAACACCATCCCCACCACTGAAATCCCTCTGGATTTCAGTGATGAGAAGGCCAAAACAAGGTGATCCCAAAACTCACAAAGAAGGCACAAAAGCAAGGCCAAACAAGGCCTAAAGGGGGGGTAAACAACCCCAAACCAAAAAGTGACCTTAAACAAAGGTCTCAAGCATGCAAAATTAGAACTTTTATCAGTTTAGAGTTAAGCTTAAAACAATATGCAATTGGTCTAAAAGCTTAAGCAAGAATAGGGTATCAAAAGGTTAGTTGCTCACCCTTGAAGAACACCTTCAAGAACAAAGCTCCAGCACCTTTCTCTGATCAAAACCACTCCAAGAACTCTGAAAACAACTCTTAAGGACCTCAGCAACCAAAGGATGGTGTTCTACTATGTGTTTGTGTGCAATAGTAAGACAAAAAGACACTTAATAAAACAAGGATCAACAAGGAGATATAGATACAAATGTATATCTATCTCTCAAGACTCTATTTTCTGAACCCCTGAGAAGGGAGGAAGGGCTCCCTTCTTATAGAAGTTCAATTCATAAGCTTGTTGAGCAAGCTAAGCAATTGAAACAAATCCCTCCATACACGTGTATGAAGGATGTGAATTGTGCATGCCATCTATGACAACTGGCATAAAATATCTGCATAAAGTAGATGAACAGGGCTCAGCCAGAAAATATGGCCGATCGACCAACATAAGTGCCGACCGACCAAAAACAGTGCCGATCGATGGCAAGAAAACAAGGCCGATGGCTTCATGCCTTGGCCGATAGGTTGAGAGGATGGCCAACAAGCCATCCTCTTCCCTCAGAAGCAAAAACACAAGTGTTTGGTCCACAACCAAGCACAAAACAGACAAGTTGAGAGATCTTGAGGCAAGGCGCGCGATCGAGACTCCCGAGAACTCAAAACGAACACGAGCATGGATTATTATTGAGTGTTCAAACGATGACGTCCAAGTCTTGAGGACGGTCAAAAATAGGGTGTCTACACATGGCATACTCAATGCTATGAACTACATGGCATGCACAATGTTTAATGGACTTAAACCAAAATGGATGGACCTCAGTCATATCCAAATTAGTGGCCATTGGTGATAAAATAAAGGCATAAAACATAAAGCATACATGCACAATGCATTGGCCAACCCAGGAGGCCTAAGAGCACAACTCTCAAGAGTGCTCAAAGAGTGACAAACATGTAAGTGTAACAACACCAAGTGCACTGAAATGAGGTAAGGAATGATGCCAAATCATTCAAATAAAACAAGTAAGGCATGCAAGAGTCCTTAAGGCATAAAGCTAGTAAAGAGGACTACAAAGGAGGCATGTAATACATGAAAAATATGCATGAACCAATCATGGACAGAGCTCTAGTAGGTCAAAACAAAGACCTAAACATGCTGAGATGAGGGCTTAAACGCCTAGGCAAGATGGCATACATGCTAGGCCACAAACTAGGCAATAATGCACAATACTCAAAGGCATTTAAAACATGAAAGAAGTGGGAATATAGTCATGCTATAAGCTCTGAAATGAAGTATTAAATGATGCCAAATCATCTAAATAACTTAAAGATAGCATGCATGAGTCAACAAAACACAAAGCTAGCAAGGCCAATTGCACTACAGCTATACAAAGCATGAAACATATGGCAAAAGAAACCAAAATAGTCCTAGAACATGTCAAAATGAGTCTAAAACATGCATAAAAGGAAGCCAAAATGTGCTAGCATGAAGGGCATAAGGCATGATGCATACAAGGCAAATAAGGTGGATTACACTACACCTATTAAGACCAAGCATGAAATGACTTAACCAACAAAAATCAGAGTTATATCATGGCAAAATAACCCCAAATAAGCACTGAAATGATGGCTCGCAAGCTAAGGCATGAAGGCATACACAATGGTTCATGTTAAGGCATAGGGGGGCCAACCCTCCAACGCATTGAAAGAGTGGCAAGCACAAGTGTATGAATATGAAATATGCACTGATATAACATTTCAAATGATGCCAAAGCACGCAAACATCACAAGTATAGCATGGTAGGGGCCTCAAGGTTCAAGACTAGTCAAAGCATTTGCACTATAGCTATACAAAACATGAGTCATATGACCATGGAAGCCCAAAACAGTCCTAGAACAGCCTAAAATATGAATAAAATCATGCTGGAGCATATCCAAAATATGTTAGAATGATGAGCCAAAACATCATGCACACAAGGCTAGTAAGCAAGATTTGTTCTACAAGTACACGAGCCACTCAAGAGACAACCAAACCAGCCCAAATCAGAGTTATGACATGTCAAATGATGATAAAAAAACCTACTGAAATGGAGCCAATACATGCTAGCAAGACATGCTACTTTGATGAGCCACAAATGGGACTACACTACACATACAAGAAGCATGCATAAAGTGACCAAACCAGCCATGGATAGAGTTAAGGCAGGTCCTAAAAGTTACAAAAAATTTTCTGAACTAAGCCTCAAAAGTATAGGGATACATGCTCCTTTGATAGGCCAAAAACTCAAGCAAACAAAACAAGAAGAGAGGGGGTCACCCCCTCTGATTTTAGGCCTCAAAACAGGGTTTTTACCACTGAAAATCCTCTGGATTTCAATGGTTTAAAGGGCACAAAAAGTTATTTTGAAAGGCCTTGGAAGATGGCTCAAAAGCTATACAAGCTAAGGAACAAAAGGGAGAGACAACCCCCTAGCCAAACAAGGCTTAAACCATCATTTTTAGGACTGAAAAATAGATATTTTCTCAATTCAAAACTAAGCCAAAAAACAGCCCCAAAGTAGTGTGAAAAGATGGCCAAGCAAATGTGTAAAACAAGCTTAAAGGAAAGAGATGTTACCCTTGGTGCACAGCTGCAAAACTAGCCCAAAATCTGAGCCATAACACCTTTTGGAGCTCGAACAAAGTCCCAAGTAAGCTTCAAGCAACCTCCTCCCAAAGATGGACCACTTTTACCAAGGATGTCTAGGCAAAAGAGAGGTATTTCTCTACTTGCATGCACAAAAGGCAAGAGAAAGAGGCTTTAGAGAGAGAGGCAGAGATCAAACTCTGAAAATTGTAGAGAGAGAGGGAGTTTTAGTGAGAGGAGCTCTCAAAACTTGCTCAAGAAGTTCTCCAAATGTTCTAACCCTCCAAAACAATAGATAAGGCCTCCATATATAGCAAAAAGAGAGGTTTGGGTCAAAAATATCTCAAAAAAGACAACTAGAGCAAGCTGGAGCAAAATATCTGTCGAAATCTGCTTTCTGGCATCAATGGCCGGCACCTTATCATTGTTGGCCGGCAGGGGGTCACTTTTGGACGGCATAGGGCCGGCATTGGCCATTCATGGCCAGCACACTCCTATAGAGTCCGACAGCAAAAATCAGTTCTAGTCTCCGACTTGAAGAAAGCCTAACTCCTTCATCTGGATGCCTTTTTAGGCCATTCTTGTGTCCAGAATGAAGCCCCAGAAGTAAGCTTTCCAATGGTGGCAGCTTCACATCAAAATTCCAACTGCGCTAAGAGATATCTCTCTTTTAGTGAAAACTGCTCATTTCGGTCCAACCGGATTAATGCCCAACTTCAACGAATCATATCTCCCCCATCCGGACTCGGCTTTAGGAGATTCTTGAATGAAAACTGAAGCCCCGGAAGTTTTCTTTCCAACGGTGGTGGCCTCATAGCTAAAATCCAAGTGTACAAATGGATAGGCCCGATTTAGCGAGGTCTGGTCGACTTTCTCTTAACGGTTCATGCCCATTTTCTCCCCCCAACTTGTTTTCTTCTCTCATCTCCTCTTTTCTTCAACACCAAACCCCTAAACAATGTGTTTTGGAAGATTTTTCAAAGATTTCATCTCTCTTTCATTCATTTTCATTTTGTCCTTGCTCGGTTTACCGAAAAGTGCAACATTTAACAAAATGCGAGCGTCGGATCATCGTAGGAACTTTTTCAAAAACTATTTTGAAAGAGAGGGTTCCAAGGTCTAAAATCTTTTAATCAAGATTGTTGTGGTCCAAAAAGGGGTATGAAGTTGGGATTTGACTCTCTCATTGCCGAAGAAATCGAACCCTTGCACTGTGCAACTTTCACCACTAAGTAAACCATCAATAGCGCCCAAGTCTTAAGGGCGGTCAAAAATGGGGTGTCTATAACTGGGCATTTCGATCCCCGATATAGTTAGCAAAGTGACAAACATAATAGGATTAAGATCACAAACTTCTCTGTATAGGTACAATTCGGATTAGATTCACATCTAAATACTCATAACTTCACTGAAATAAAAAGATCGAATAAAATTACAACTGAAAGGAGTTTTGTCATACCGGATTGCCAATTACAAAAACCTAACAATCTAGCTAAAATTGACAAAAAAAAAATATGGTGTCAACAATATTGCACACTTTTTGTGCATGTAATTTTTTATTTTGTGAACCTTATATATGTATTATGCAGCAAATCCATTGTGCACTATGTGCATAGAAATTGGGTCATGGATTCGTACTAAATGATATTGTATATATATATATATATTGGCATTGTTGTTCAATTTTAGAGGATAAGCATGTTCTCTTAATACTAGAACTCATACTAAATGATCAAGATAAGATACTTGGAAGAAGTGTCAGTAAAACTCTCGCTATTTCAACCAGAAAAGTCTGAACCTTTTTTTTCCACTTGCCATTTCAATCTTTTGTGTTTGCAATTTATACCCAATCTACAGTAGGATGCAAACCAAATTTCAAGGTCTGGATCATCTACTTGTGTTCACTCAAATGATGGATTCTTGGTAGGCTGCTTAAAGGGAAAATTATCAGATTGAATTATGCTTTCTTTCCATGTGATTCTTTTCATTTACAGAGCAATAAAGAGGGCATGCGCAAACAATTTCAGGCTTTGTATAGACTACTATAACAAAATTTGAGTGGTATAATGAATACACAGTATCATGAAAAAAGATTGTTGTATGCTTTTATTATTTTCATTTACAGAGCAATAAAGCAGTGAATTTGCAAACAAATTTCAAGCTTTGTAGTGACAGATATTACAAAATTTGAGTGATCTAATATATATACAATAACATGAAGCATAAGATTGTTGTATGCTTGGATGACTGATTGCTATCTTGGCCCTGAAAGCCGCACAGCAGAAAGATAAGTATCGCTGTTGCAATCTGACGGCCCTGATGAAGTGCCCTCACTGCTGATAGGTTTGAAGAAATTTGAAAACAAATGAGAACCCATTTGAGAAACAGTCGGTGGAGTCGGAACAGGACAGAGACCTTCAAGCATTTGGACTACCTTCGACATGGCTGGTCGTAGGTGCATATCATCTTGTATGCACCACAAAGCAACTTTGATTGCAATAGCTACCCTCTCATCCTCTTCATCTATCTTCAGCTTTGAATCGAGGATACTTCTCAGTTTCCCTTCTTCCATCATCTTAAAAGCATATGACGGATAATGGGATTTCTCTGAAGTTTGTGTCGGGTCATAGCTTTTTCTTCCCCCAATGATCTCAAGCAACACCATTCCATAGCTATAAACATCACTCTTCTCTGATATCGCATAGTTTGTGATCCACTCTGGTGCAAGGTATCCCCTCGTGCCCCTCAGAGTCGTGAACACGTGACTCTGCTCACGAGTCATTAGCTTAGATAAACCAAAGTCCGAGACTTTAGCATGATAATGATCGTCTAGGAGCACATTTTCAGGCTTTATATCGCAATGAACAATCTTTGCATCACAATCCTCATGGAGATACGCCAGTCCTTTGGCCGTTCCCAATGCTATACTGAATCGCGTGTTCCAATCCAACATGAAATCCTCTTCGTTTCTCCTGAAGATCCATTTGTCCAAAGACCCGTTCGCCATGTACTCGTAAGCAAGAAGCCGATGCGTTCCTTCAGCACAAAAGCCTTTGATCCTCACCAAATGGAGATGGTGGATGCTACCGATGATACTAACTTCAGCTCGGAATTCTTTCTTTCCCTGACCAATTCCTTCCAATTTCTTCACGGCAAGTCTAGTCCCATCTGGCAAAACCCCTTGGTAAACCGAGCCAAACCCTCCTTGTCCGAGCTTAATAGAAAAGTTGTTTGTTGCGGTTTGAAGATCTTTGTAACTGAAACGTATTGGCATCCCAGATAAATTCTCCAAGAAATTATCCTCCTCTGAAGAATCTTTGGGAGACTCCTGCAATTTCCTCTTCCTTCGGTAGTAAAAATATCCACCGAAAAGCAGACCAATAATCACTACAACTGTCGAAATAGCTATGATGATGACATATGGGAAGGGTTTCTGGCTGCTTCCACCACCTCCGGTGTTGTTACCACTTAGAACCTTGATATATGAAACGAAAGCACCACCATTGTTTGAGTTTTGGAGGCTTCCTACACTGTCAAAAAGAAAACAATTTCCCGAGCTATTTTCAAAGAACAAAGCAACACATGAGCAATTACCAAGGCAAGAGGCTTTGCAACCATGTAAATCAGTTGTAGAGATGGGTGAAACAAAACCAAGCGCGAAATAGCTGAGGTCATCTCCTGCTTTAACAAGCTCTGTAGCACCATTGGATGGATCACACGGGGAGACAATCCCCGGGTTGCAATTTGGAAGGGAGCTGAGATTGGAAGGACACTGGCACGTGTTTCCACTATAACAAACATAATATGCACCACAATGTAAAGGGGTGCTACATAGATCATTAGGTATTTTCGTTGGTGAAGGACCACTTGAACCTGCCGTCTGAAGAGCGGAGAAGGTAATCAAGCCATCGTTTCCTAAAACTGCAACCCAAGTGGCATTTGGATCAATGTTATCAGAGAAAACAAACTGCCACAATAAGACTTTGTTTTGATCATAAAACTTCCATGAATTGGCATCAAGAGATGCCAAAGTGACAACCCCACCCTCTTGGTTGATGGTTCTCCGGTTATCTTTGCCCATAGACCAATAAGGTTGTGGGGGTTGAAACCCTGCATAAAGAATCATATCCCCGGAATTGATTTCTAAGAAATAACTCAAGTTATTGGAATCGGGATTGCTCACCAATTTCATTCCTTCGGTGAAGTTTTGGTTGGACAAAAGGGTGTCTGTGGGATGGGCAAAACTCTGCCAAACGACACTACTATCGTTCGCACGCAAAACCAGATTTCCCGAGTCAAGCAATTCCATTGCTGAAACCCTTTTGCCTGTGGTATTTGTAGACCAAATTGTGATTCCCCCACTTTGTAGGTAAGCGTTCCCGCTATCATCAAACACAAAGTTATCGGAATTGTGAACAGGGGAGGCACTATTTGCAGACCAGACTAGTGTTGAACTGCTTTGGTGAATGACAGCAAGAAGAAACAAAGTGACATCTTGGGTAGTGGTGAAACCGAAACCAAAATTGGAGTTATTGGATACAAGGAACAACCCATTATTGTCTATCCAAGTCATTTGAGACCCTTGAAATCCTTTATTCATCTTGGCAATATGTTGAACACTTGCCATACAAGGTTCAGATAGAAGGAGAGGGAACAAAATCATGCCCATAAAATGAAAGAAACCCCAAGTTTCCATAATCACACACCAATCAAAGATAACAACACAAGAATGGAACTAATTGGGAATCCAATGACTATGACTGTTTAAAATAAGTGGACCAAGAAAGGGAAAAAAAAGAAAAACAAAAACAAAAGCCAATCAACTCTTTACATTGAATTTACTAACACAGTTCTGCATCGTACAACGGAATATTAGAGAACACAAAATTTCTATTACAGACATCTTTGTGATTGACTACTCTTCATTTGGCCATGAAATTAAAAATTCCTCACCTCTGAAAATAAAAATAAAAAAGGAAAAGGAAAACACACAAGAAACTATGAACACCAACAAGAAAGACCCAGAAAAATTAAGATTAGAAAAGGAGAGACAAAAGGGCAAACAACTAATGAGTAGTTTTTACTTGGTAAAGAAACAAGACCCAGTTGCAGAAACAACCAAGATTTAGCGAGAAGGTCTTACGCAGCCATTTAATGGAGCTTAGAAGGAGATGCAGAGCACTTACATACCACTAGAAGGAGATGCAGAGCACATAAATGGGTCTCTGGCCTTTTCTTGATTTAAAGATTCAAAATATATACAAAGAGAATTAGATGAATCTATCCTTGCTTATGTCAAAGTTTTAGAGAGACCTGAGGTGGGTTTCAACCCTTCCAAAGGTCTCTTTCTTCTGAGCACTGTTGCAGGATTTTATGCGGGTGACAGATCCACCAACACTACTCAACTAATAATAATAAAAAATTGATGGGTACATTTACAATTAACCAGGCTATCAGGATATACAAACGGATTATACTAGACATTCTAAATGATCTATCCAACCTCTCGTATAATAATTGGACTCACACACATATAGATTTATGACATTTATGTGAAAAATTTAATAAAAAATTTGATAAATTATTTAAGATTTATAATATTTTTTATACAAATTGACCCTTGTAATTTTTAAAATTATTAAGGTAAATTATGTGAGTGTTTGGAAAGTGAATTTTTTTATAAGTTTTTTTAGTTGTATGATATTATTAGAGAATTTTTTTTTTTATATTTGGAAAGATAGTTAGATTTTTTTTGTGGTTTAATTTAATGTTTGTGAGCGAAAAAGTGAAATGATTATGGAGTTTGATGTGATGTTTTGTTTGGATTTATTTTTTTTGATTTTGCAACTAATTTGTCTTTTAGTGAAAAAAAACAAAAAACAAAAAAAAAACCCAAAACCCAACTTCCCAAACAGCCCCACACATTGATTTTTTTTAGATTTAAAAAAATATAATAAATTTCATAATTTTAACATAATTATATTAGGTTTTCTTAAGATTATAATCCATATAACATTTAGCACTCTTTTTATCAATTATTCATTAGTCACATAAATAAAAAAAATGACATGATTATATCTTTTATATTAATATATATACTATTTTTATTTACTCTCGTATTTTATGCTATCTATATCATTTTTAATTCTTTTAATATTAATAAAAATATCAATATAATAAAGTTAAAATTGTAAGAGTTAAAATATTTTTTCTAAAGTTCAGGAAGTTCAGTATAATTTACCATTAATACCACATGAAATTTGGTTTGTTACGAACACTATATTCTTGGTGCAATTTTAGCATAGGTTTGTTATGAACACTTTATTCTTGGAGCAATTTTAGCATAACAAAAGTGCACCTTATAAATAGTTACTACACGTTATTTTTTTGAAAAAATGTTTGAGACTGTTAAAAAGACTTTCAATTTAACCCCACAATGATGTTGCTTTGTTTGGTAAAGATTTTTTTTTTTTTTACTTTTTTAGTTAAAATCTAAAAAATAAAATAAAATAAAATAGAATATTTTAAAATAATGAATAAAATAAAATATCACATCAAATCCATAATTATTTCACTTTTTTTTTTTAGAAATATCACATCAAATTATAAAAAATCTAATTATCTTTCCAAATATAAATATTTTAACTTACTAAAATAGTCAAAAATTAAAATATTCTATCAAAAGTGCTAACTTTTCAAGAGAGGCCAATAAGTGTCAATATTTGATTATATATTCAATCATATAAAACTACAAAAATGCTTCCTACCCCCACTGGGGGTCGACCCCCAGTGAGGTGTCACTCCGGGATTGGCCCAAAAAAAAAACTATTTTTTTTTTTTTTTTGAGTTTTCAGCCAGGGGGCGCGCCACGTCACTGGGGGCGCGACCCCCACTGGGGATATGCAGCGGGACTGATAAAACTAACTCCCTTGTCAGTTCATTCAATGAATTTATAAATTTAAAATTATGGACCATTAATACTCCTATTTTTTTCTCCATTGATATGTGATATTTCTTGTGCAAAAATAGCACAATTACTCAATAACATAATGTTTTATGTAATTTTTTTTGTTTGGGTACATACTAAAATAATATATTTTTTTGTTTTTTAATCTTATTTAGATCATATTATTTCTTATTTGAATCACATCACATTTCTATCATATTGCACATCTTTTTATAAAAATAAAAAAAAAAATTATTAAAATAACTTATTTCCAAACATCTCCTAAGCATCAATCACCATTTACCAACTATTAATTTAAATCAAAATTACGAAATAAGCATGAGCTTGATTCGTATAAAAATGCCATTGAATTGGTAGTTTGTGAAGATAGTAGAGAAAGATATAAAAGATAATGAGATGACAACGGCATGCTATTGAGAAAATGGGAGTTAAGAGACATAAAAAATAAAAAATAAAAAATTAAAGTGATCCAAGAAAAAAAGAAAACAAAAGAAAAAAAAAGAGAGACTTACATGTAGATTTTAATAAATAAATTTATTATCCAATAGATCTTAAGATAATTAATAACATTTTTCATTAAATACTATTAAAAATGTCTTTAATTGTTAATTTTCAGTGACAGTTTGAATATTTTATAACAAAAATGTTACTAATTATAAGTTTTAGAGATGGTTAAAAAAAATATCACAAAAAAGGTCACTAATTTTTAACTTTCAGTGACATTTTGATAAATTTGTCAAAAAAAGGTCACCAATTGTAAGTTTTAGCGACAATTTATAAAAATTGTGACACAAATAGTCATTAATTATCAATTTTTAGTGACATGCAAAAAATTGTCACAAAAAATTATTTTTAGTGACAAATTTATAAGATTTATTTTCAATAAAATTTGATAAGAATTAAATCTAACTATTATGACTTATTAGTAATTTATCCCAAAAAATAAACCTTTGACTATTGTTAAGGTAAATATTAAAATTTTAAAATTTTTAATTTGATTGACCTAATAGTTGACTTATCCCAAGAAGAATTTGTGATATAATTGAACACTGTAAAAAGTGGAATGAAAAATTTTAAATTACAAGGAATCAAATGTATTTGTAAAAAATGTAGGGGAAAATTGATAACAATTTTGCCTACGTATGTCATGTACGTTTTTTTATGAGTGTTACCATTTACTTAATTTTTTTTGGGCTTCTAATTTTTATTTATTTTTATTTTAATTATATTTTGAAAAAAAATTATATTAAAAGATAATTTTTAAGGGAATGTTCACCCACTAAATGAAAATAATTAAAATGACACTTTATAATATTGTACATCCACTTCCATTCCCATGTAAATGTATTTCTTACCAACTTAAATTTTAAACGTGTTCCTCTTCATTATTATCCTAAATCCTGAACGTATTCCTCATAAACTCTAAATGTATTCTTCTTTATCAATATCCTAAACCGTAAACATATTTATCTTCATCATCATCATGATCTGGACCAAATCAGTTAACATTTCAAACAATTCTATTACAGACTCTAAGTTTTTCCAATCAAATTTTCATCTACATCTATGGTCATTTTCACCATTCGTTGATACTTATAAAGTAATGGAGGACAATGATAACAACTCTGATAAGGTTGGTATTGCATTGGCAAATTTATCTATTTTGCATTAACGATTCTTGATCGTTTTCGATAGTTACTGTTTTGTTTGCGCTTGTTCGATACTGGTTTGTCGACAGTTAATGTTTTGTTCAGTAACACAGTGCTAAACAGAAATATTTAATTCGGTATATAGGTTCCGAATAAAACTTTTATTTTCAGTACTATTCAACCAAACATAATTTTTAATAAGACGAAGAGATTTTTGTCAGTCACTGATCTCGATTGGGAGATTTCTGACGAGTCAAAGAGAAGACGATGATGGTAGTCCAGAGACAAGAAGTGCAACAGCAACTCTATCGTCTGCGATGGTGGCGGGAGGTGAGGACTGTAGGCTAGGCGGCTAGCGTTATAAAGCTGGGCCGTGGTCGCCAGAAAAGTGGGAGATAGAGAGAGACACACCGGATCTAGAAGAAAAATGGGATAGAGAGAGTGTATAAAATTAGGTGGGTGTACACTTAGGTGCGATGATATTATGAATAGGGATAAAATTGGTATTAAGTAAAATATTCAAAAAAAATTATTAAAATTTAAGATTTAGAGTAAGAATTTAAAAAAATAAAAAAAAAATTAAAATAAATGATAATAGCAAGACTTGTTTTTTTTTTTAGCATTATGTTTTAGACCCTTACTAGGAGTGACCCCCAAGACCTCCAATGGGGTTTGATTGGCCAAAATATATATATATATATATTTTCTTCTTCCAATAATCATCCCCTACCTGTGTGTGAGAGAGAGAGAGAGGGATGATGGGGGTGGGAAAAATTAGGGGTCCCTATCAGCATTCTTTTTTGTATAGAAGATTTTGTTAATATGGTGTTGAAGGAGGTAGTTGGGGGTTAGAAAGAAAATGAAAGCTGGTTGGATTAAAATAATGCAAAACTGGACGAATGAGGGGGAGGGTGAGTCAAAAGGTTTTGCAACTAGCTCAAATACCCGTTGCCCTCTAACTAAGGGAGTTCAAGCCCACTTGAATATGTAGGTCCCATTTTACATTTTAATTCTACTGATTTGTTTGGTTTCAGTTTTTAAAATTAAATTTTTAAAAATTAAATTTTTTATTTTTTATATTTTTTTATTTTTAGTAAATATTTTTAAAATTTTAAATATTTTTTTATTTTTTTAAACATACCTTACTTAGATATATCTAAAAAGTAAAATATTTATGAAAAAATATTTTAAAAACTTAATAAACACAAAAAAATATACTAAATTTTCATATTTTTTATGCATTTTTGGTATTTAGTGAATTTTTTTAAAAAAAATAAATTCACGAAAATTATACTTTTTAAGTGTATTTATGTTAGGTGTGTCTAAAAATTAAAAAAAAATTGCTTAAAAGATTAAAAAAATTCAATAAAAAAAATACTAAAAACAATAAAGAAAAATATTTTCAAAAACCTAAAAACAAACCTAGTGAATACTATCCTTAATTTTTCTTTGATATCACACTAATACCCCTTTGTCTCAATCCCCAAAAAATATCTTTGGTATTAATCCATCTTATGAACTATCAAATAATGTGGAAGAAAAATATTTGTTACACCTAATTTATTATTTTTAAAAATTATTTTTATGATGTTTTTGACAAATGTTAAATTTTAATTTGTCAAGCATGTTATCATGTGGAATCTAACTTTAACATCATATCATTAAGTATCATTTAAAAATGATAAATTAAAAAATATAGTATTATTGAATGTGGATATATTTAAATATTGGTGACTAAAACATTGGTCGGTGAATGTATGATTTTAAAGA